TGCTAAGAGAAAAGATAGCCAACCTGAGCACAGAAGAGAAATAGATAAAAAATCGTTTGCTAAGAGAAAAGATAGCCAACCTGAGCACAGAAGAGAAATAGATAAGCAATCTTTTGCTAAGAGAAAAGAGTGCCAAACTGATCATGTGAGAGAAGTAAATAGAAATTCAGTAACAAAGAAAAGGACATTGCTAAGAGAATTATCAGCAGATGATTCATTAGAAGTGAAAAATTAAGAATGTCAAATTTTAACAATGGCTGTGAGGAATTATTTGAAAATGCAACTGACAATAATGTTGATCCAGCAAAATTTATCCTCAATTTTCATAATAAAGTAGAATCTGGACCAGAATATGTATGTACTTGCTGCAATCAACTGTGGTATAAGACTTMTGTAAGAAAATGTAATTTGATTGCTTATTCAAAGTGCTCATCAGAACTTGTAACTCAATGCATTACAAATACAAAAAGTATATCAGATACAGAATGGATATGTACCACTTGTCATTCAAATCTAAAGGATGGAAAATTGCCTGCATGTGCAAAGGCMAATAATATGGCATTTCCAATAAAACCTGATGTATTAGAATTAACACAACTGGAGGAAAGACTTATTTCACCTAGAATYCCATTCATGCAAATACGTGAATTGCCAAGAGGTGGTCAGTTAAGTATTCATGGGAATGTAGTTAATGTTCCTGCTGATGTKAATTTAACTGTTAATTCTTTACCTAGATCACTTAGTGAGTCACATACTATTCCAATTAAACTAAAGAGGAGACTTTCTTATAAGCACCATTATAAGTTTCAAAATGTTAGACCTAAAAAAGTCTTAGAAGCAGCTAAATTTCTTGCTGAAACAAGTGAATTGTTTAAATCAGAAGGTATAGCAATAAAGGAGAATTGGCTTGAATCTTTACAAGATAATAACGAGGGTGAAGAATGGAAAGAATTTTTAGATAACTCAAATCAACCACCCATTGAAGATAATACTGTATCAGACAATATAAACAGCCAGACAACAGAAAATAATCTCAATAGTAATAATATTTCAAATGCTATTTCTGATGATAATGATGGTTGGTGTGAAGTAGATGAACGTCCATCAGGCAATCTAGATACTTTATTGCAAGAGCCAGACATTGCAGAAAATGGTGACCATATTATTAGTTTTGCACCAGGAGAAGGYAATAARCCATTAGGAATTTTTATGGACAAAGATTCAGAATTTTTATCATTTCCTACTATATTTTGTGGAGAACGAAGGCCTGACAATAATGAAAGAACTACACCTGTACACTATAGCACTGTTTGTAAGTGGGAGTTGAGAAACCAAGATAGGCGTGCTGCTCAAAGTGTTCCTAATATATTCTTTAAGCTAAAAAAATTGCAAATAAAACAAATTCAGGACAGTGCATCATTATCTCTAAGAAAATGCAAAACAAAAGGGAAAAAATACACAGCAGGTGAATTAAAATGTCCAGAAAACATTGACAATTTAGTACGTCTAGATGAAGGTTTTAGGGTGTTAAGAAATCTTAGAGGATCACCACCATATTTTGAAAAATGCAAAAAGGATTTGTTTGCTATGATTCGCCAAATAGGTAAACCTACCTGGTTTTGTTCATTCTCAGCTGCAGAAACTAGATGGGTTCATTTGCTTAAAATATTAGGAAGGCTAGTAGACAAAAAAGACTACACAGATGATGAAATTAGTTCTATGGCATGGCAAAAGAAATCGGACTTGATTCAGTCAGATCCTGTTACATGTGCAAGGAACTTTGAGCATATGGTCCAAATTTTTATTCATGACTTTATGAAAAGTGCATTACTTCCAATAGGAGAGATACAGGACTATTTCTACAGAGTTGAGTTTCAACAAAGAGGATCACCTCATATTCATGCTATGATTTGGATTAAGAATGCTCCCGTGTATGATGCTATGGGCAATGACAAAGAGGTTACAGACTTTGTTGATAAATATGTTACTTGTCAC